ATTGCTGAAGATGTGTCTCCTCAAGGGGGCTGAGGCCAGGCATTCCCTTCTCGTCCTGCAAGTTACCATTAAAGCTACCTACCGTTGGTTCGGTTTGTGCTATGACCAAACTAACAGTAACTTTAATGTGAACTTTCAGGCCGTTTTATCATTGGATCAAAAAGCCAGAACCACAATAGAATCCATGACTATGGGTGGCAGTCTGACATGGCCAGAAGTGTTTTACAGATTCACGGCTAGGAAACGCCCTGAACTGACTGTGTGTAACATAAGGGAGACACGGAGACGATGACCCTAATCTCTGGCGCAGTCTGCGCTCTAGCCTGGATGAAATCCTGAGTAAAGGGACACTGAGACCGCACCTGAGTTGATAAGTTTCATTCAGCCTTCCAGAAACACAGGTAGGACCTTGAAGTTCAAGGAGAGGGAAGTGGGGAAGGAAGGGCAGGGGAGTACAGACTCAGTGTGACAAACCAAGACCAGGAATGCTCAGCTCCCAAGTCAAAAGCAAGCTTAGACGACAGTCAGGAAGAAGGATGAAAATAATCACCTACTAACAAGTTTGGGGAAGAATCCAGAGGACAAGTTCACAGCACCTTCCCGCATAGGCAGTGTCTCCTGACGGCTCCCTTACTCCCACTAGGGTGCTCCTCTCCTAAAATGCACTATGTACTCAGCAATCACTTAAATCACGCATGTTAATTTGCATGCAGGCTTGTATGAGAAGTCTTTAAAAGCAGTTGCCTAAGAGGGGGAAGGTAATACCACACAGGTCCCGCAATGGCTCAGTATGCTTCTGAGCTGTGTGATCATTACCAGTGTTCACCAATGGTCAAAGCCTTACTAGTAACTGTCTATTGGAATGGTTATGTATTTAACCCAAGAGCAAGAGTTAAGAAAAAAAAGGCCAAGAGCACAGCACGGCCAGAGTGTTCCACACTGGAATGGTTCCCTATAGCCCTGTCCAAAACAAGCTTTTAGAGACACTGCCTTCAAAAACCAGTCATCAATCAGTCTATCAATAAAAGCAAAACGCCAACAAAAAGGGAACAGCACAGGGCCTGGCAGATGAATCAATTTACACAGTGAAGAGTTGACTCAGAGCAAAGGAATCACATTAATGTGGATCTGTCATAGCTCATCGTACCGCTTCCCTAATAACAACACAGTGCAGTCATTCACACTGCTGGTAACTCCATAGTTCCTCTTGGCTCTAATTATGGCTTCTTGCTGTGTTCCAGAAGAGACTCTGAGAGGCTCACACACTACTGTGACTCGCAGACCTCCTGAAGCCTCCTTCTACAAGCATGTACATCTGTAATAAATCCATGCTATGTAACAAGGTATCCTTGGTTGTCTTCATTCTTCTCTTCCAGAATAAAAGTCTCTGCTATGTCTTGTTCATGTGGCTGGCTCAGTGCCCTGCACAGACTTTGCTGTGCAGTTAAAATACAGTACTACACATTCTGCTGCATACAAAGATAATGGCACAGCTCTGTCACCAGGATAAATACTTTGAATTATATTCTAAATAATGATGATTCTAGATAAGGACTCCTGCAGATATAGTCATCCATGGTTCTTCCCTCGGAACCCTTCCCACAAATTCTGTCAACTTCTCCTCGGGTATACAAGATGATCAGCTGGCTATGAAAGGAAGGCAAACACCACTGGACAATGGAGGACCAAACCCATGTCCCTAGCACCAAGAAAATGGTATTGTCTCTAGCTCATGTGCCTCCCCCGCTTAACATGGGACAAAAATACCAGTTACCTTTTATTATTGTTATTATAATTTATGTGTACTGTTGCCATTGTCATTGTTGCTGTTCATGGTGTGTGTGTGTTTGTGTGTGTGAGAGAGAGAGAGAGAGAGAGTGTGTATGTACATGTATGTGCCGCAATACATGGGTGAAGGTAAGAGAACATCTTGGTGAAGCTGGTTCTTTCCTTCCACAATTGGGCTTTTTGATCCAATCAGGCCCTCAGGCAAGTGTCCCTATCTGCTGAGGCATCTCAGGAGGCCCCCCAGTTGCCTGTGGACACAGCAGACTAGACCCCTACTCTACTGCCATTGGTATCTGCTGTCCTCACCCTGGAGGCTGAGCTCCTCCCACAGACCTAGACCCACATAAGCCTCGTTTTCAGACTGAATTATGCTTTGGTTTGTGAAGCAACCTTCAGAACAGTGGTCAAGGTGAATTGTTTTGGCTTATATCATCATTAAGAAAAAGTTAAGATTTTGTCTTCATTTATTTTAAATTTGAGATATTTTTTCCAATATAATTTTGGTCACAGATGCAATAGTTGTTGCATATTGGAATTATTTAAAATTTCATTTAAAACATACCATCTTTTAGATGTATCTAACAGACTCTAGATAAGAACCACAGAAACCTGAAAATGACTTTAATCCACCAAAACCAAGAGAACAAACTTGCCTTTAACAACAAAAAATACTGCATTATTCTCTTTTCCTCCTTGAACTCACATTTCTATTCTATTTTCCCCACTGAATTTTTTCTAAATATAATTTGACTTAATGCTTGAAAGGCTTTTATGAATCTCTACATTATGCTTCTTACAACAAAGTATACAAAAATGATGTTTTTTAAAAACATCCTGGGACTCTGGAGCTTAAAAGCATTCGATTTGCTTTCAGTTTGAGCTATCATTACTAATGCACACAATTGATCCAAAGAACATTAACAATTATTTATAAGAATGTTAATATTGTTAACAGGGAAAAAGCAATTTCACTGGAAATGCATTTGTGAAGAAATGGAGAGGATTTGTTGATTCCTTCAATTAGTCCATTTATCTATGGATGAGTACTACCCACTGCTTATGATAAAGATTGTTTAGCACCAATTATATGTCTGTGTTATTTTATAGATGTAAACAATAAGAAATCTTGTCTATGTAGGTCTACATAAAATGAAGGGGATTTTATCAAAAGTTATTTTCATCTATCATCTTATAGCTGGATTAGGTCTCCTTCAAGATTATTGAAAACCAAGAAGTCAAATTACCCAAGTTAGGCAAAGACATGTTTCCTGCTCTAATGATCACTTCCTGTACCTGTGGACTGGAATTTTCACAGTTCTTTGCATTGGGATGCTGGCTTCACATCCTAGGACAGCTCAGTAGAGCAGACCCAGGATGGCAACAGCTTTGCCCTTTTCCTTTGCAAAGCAGGTGAGTGACCGTGAGAAGTGAGATGGAAAAGTTGGTGTGGCAAAGTCAACGTTGAGCAAATCAGTGTCCAGAAGGGTCCACAAAGGGGTTGAGAAGCAGGAAAAGACCTCTTCCAACTAGCATGCCTTTGTTGGTCTTACAGGGCCTTTGGGGACAGCTCTTTGCTAGTCATGTGTTCCTGTCATTCTGCCCGTTTGCAAGTTTTACACAGCTTTGACTAACATGGAAGTCTATACAACATGTAAGTCTGCAGCAGATATGATAGGAGAGGTAGTGTTGTCTGAGGTTTTGTCCTGCCTGGTTCCCGCAGTCGTTAAGTACCAAAGAAATCACACAGTTTAATCATAAACTGACTGGCCCATTATCTCAGGCTTCTTATTAACTCTTATAACTTATATTAGCCCATTATTCTAGTATATGTTAGCCATGTGGCTCGGTACCTTATTCAGCAAGGAAGTCACATCTTGCTCCTTCTATGGCGGGGCCGGGACTGCAGAAAGAGCTTTCTTCTTCTCAGAATACTCCTGTCCTCGTTGACCTGCCTCTACTTCCTGTCTGGTTGTCCCGCCTATACTTCCTGCCTGGCTACTGACCAATCAGCATTTATTTAAAATATAATTGACAGAATACAATTGTCCCACACCAAGGTAGCAAGCTAAAGCAGGAAGCATAATTCTTGTTCAGTTTGCTTGAATGGAAATTCTTAATAAATCCCCTCTTCTGACAAGGCAGCAAACACACTCTACAAATGATTATAAATTTGGTATTCCTCACAATGTCACATGGAGACCCAGAAATAGTCAAGTGCTTTTATAATAGAAAAACTGCTAAATAAATTCGGTTACAGTTATGTGACTAAAAATGCAGTATTTTAATTCAAAGAAAACACTGGAATTAGGAAATGTTCCATATAGTATGAAGTAAAAAACAAGTAGAAAACTAACGTGTAAGAAAAATGTCATATTCATTTGTATGCTCTATATATGTGTGCAAAAGATTTAAGGAAATCCATTAAGCTGGCTTCAGTCATTACCCCTTTGTGTGTGCTGTGGATACTCTCTATTCTTTCGTTCTTCCCTCTACTTTCTACACAGGACATGTATTGCTTTCAGCAATGAGTAGAAAGAAGGAAAAATGTGCACGGAAAGGACAGGAAGGAGGAGAAATCGGTTCATGTCTTACAGCTACTGCAGGTGACCTCAGATTCCCATCAACAAGATGGTGTCCTGCCCGGGCTGGGAGAGAACTTAAGTGCACTCCAGCTGGGACTGACTGCATTTCCCAGAGAAGAAACTTCTCTCTGTGCTGCACTGGGAAATTTTGTTCCCTGTCGGCTCTCATGTTAGCGGTAGCTTTGGTCATTCCTCTCCTTGCCCACGTTCTTCCTTCTCGCGCATCTCGTGGCAGCACTAACGCCATTCACCTCTCACTCCACACACAGATGAAAACAGGTCAGGTCCCATGAAACAGCCCACTTCAGGGACACCAAACCAACCAACAACACAAGATGAACACTTGTAAACCAGTGGTTCTCAACTCCTAATTCTGTCACCCTTTCATACAGGTCCTCATGTTGTGGTGACCCCCAAGCATAAAGGCATTTGCATTGGTATTCAACACTGTAATTTTGTTACTTTTATGAATGGTAAATATCTGTGTTTTCTGATGGTCTAGGTGACCCGCCAAGGGGTCACAATTCTTAAGTTGAGGACCACTGCTATAAAACAAGGTGGTCCAGTCTTTAGGAAAACATGGAAGACGACTTTTGGTCCCTGTTGCATTACGGTTGCTGTGTCTCTTACCTCAGCAAGTGTGGAGGGAGCGTCACAATGGTGTCCAGGCCACTTAGGGTTTCTGTAAAAGAATACTGCAGAGTTACAAGCAAATATTTAAAGATTGGGATTGATATCTAAATTCTAAAATCTCTGTACTTTCTGAACTTAGTTTGTGTGCCCCCTTAGACAATAGAAAATAGTCATATCTTTATTTTAAAATTCTTTCCCATGATGGACCTCAATTCATTATTGGGAAAGAGAAGGTTAAAAAAAAAAACAGGTCACATTTTTCCATTAGCAACAGGAATGAATAACTAAATCCCTAATCTAAGCCAGAGTGCCAAATACAATGTACCTACTACTGGCCGAGAGGCTCCATTCTTCCAGTCAAAAGCAAAAGTTGTTTGGTCGAAACATTTTTTTTTCTTACTTAATTAATTTTTTTTCAAAGTTTATTAAATTATAAAAGTTTTCATTTCCGCCCCCTTCCCAACACCCTCCCACTCCCCCCACTCCCTCTCCTCCTCCCTCTCCATCCCTAAGAGCAGTCAGGGTTTCCTGCCCTGTGGGTAGTTCAAGTTCCTCCCCCCTCCCTCCAGGTCCAGGAAAGTGAGTATCCAAACAGACTGGATCCCAAAAAATCCAGTATATGCAGAGGAAACAAGTCCCAGTGTCATTGTCAATGGCTTTTCAGAAAGACTCCGGGCCAGCCACATTCAGAGAATCCGGCCACATTCAGAGAATCTAGTTGGATCACGTGCTCGTTCAGTCCCAGTCCAACTGGCCTTGGTGAACTCTCATTAGATCAGTCCCCTTGTATCAGTGGGTGATCGCACCCCTCGCAGTCCAGAGGGTTAGAGAGAAGGGAGTAGGGGAGGAATGGGGAAAGCTCGGGGGACTGGGATGGGGGGAGGGAGGAAAGATGGATATGGGATCAGGGAAGAATATATCTCAACTAAGGGAGTCATTTTAGGGTTTATAAGAGACTTGATTATAAATGGGATCCCAGGTCCAAGGAGAGATCCCCGGATTGTTCTCTAGACAGAGGCGGTGCCTGAACCGCCTTGGCCCATAACCATACTGATGAATATTTTGCTTATCACCATAGAACCTTCATCTGGCGATGGATGGAGATAGAGACAGAGACCCACATTGGAACACTGGACTTAACTCCCTAGGTCCAAACGAGAAGCAGAAGGAAAGAGAACATGAGCAAAGAAGGCAAGATCAGAGGGAACCTTCATCCTACGATGGATGGCGATACAGATGGAGACCCACATTGGAGCATCGGACTGAGCCCCCCAAGGTCCAAATGAGGAGCAGAAGGAGGAAGAACATGAAAAATGGTTGAAACATTTTAATCTCTCAAGCTATAAAGACTTTCAAGTTCACAAGGAACCTTACCGGACATGTGGTAATCTATTTAACAGCTTTCCTATCATTGAAACACTTGGCCCTCTCTGGGCTTTCCTTTGATATTAAGAGAAGTACAGAACTTCCACTTGTTTGTGGAGTGCGCTTTTGTCACTATCAGGACATCGTGATTTACTGGGAGTTTCCGTTCAAGGAGGTTGAACAAGAATTAGGCTTCTGTCTTTAAAACAAATCCGTTTCTTCTCCTCTCATGCCTGCTCCAGACTGGCCTGTGCTAGGGACTCCCATGCTAATCGCACACACTCGTGACATGGTAGACTGACCACCTATTTAACCACATCACAGGTAAGGGTAGTGATTAGGAACCTCATCCTCAGATCTCATTAATCAAGCCTAATAATGCTCAATATTTTGCCACCATTTGCAGATAAATCATATGACTGCTGACTCTAATTGTACAGAAAATAGAAAGCTAATTACTATGCCCTGCTCCAAAATTGTTCTACTTCAGTCGCTCCAGCCTGTCTCCCGGCGATCAGCTCCACCGTGTAGATTCAAACAGCTTTGCCAATTTGAACAACTTCCCTGGGGAAAGGATAGACAGCCCCTCCACCCTCTTAAGAGAGTAGAGAGAACATGAAACCAAATAGGTCCCTTAGACTCGGGACTAACGGGACCCCGCAGGACAGAATCAGGCCGGTTATAGACAATGGAGCAAAAAATCGTGAATCTGAGGGAAATAATGCATCAGCAAAAACCAGTAAGTAGAGCTGAGTAGGGTCAGCGGTAGCTTGGAGATGAGGCCCAACTGGGAGTGGGGAGGACTGAGGTCAGAGCCCAGGATGGGATGGGATGACAAGAAAATGAAGCCACGGGATGCAAGTTCTAGGGGCAGCTCAAAGGGTCATATAGGTTAGCAGAGTCCAGCAATTAGTGTGACAGGGGACAGTGTCGAGGGCACATTAGTGCTGTTGGTGAAGAAGAAATGAAAGTAGACAAACAAGTGTCGTGTGCTCTCCAGAGACGGGGCTGCATCTCCAGCTCAGGGCTGAACACTGCCTGATCTACAGATGATGCATGAGCCAGAAGAAAAAGAAACGAGAACAGGGAAGTCATCTGTGGGACAGGGCTTGCCCAGCATGCAAGATTCTGGGTTTGATTCCCCAGCACCACCTTTAAAAAAACAAAGGGTAGAGGGAAGGAAAAGGCAACCACACTGTTGCCATGAGCCGAGACTCCTACTCCATGTAAGTAGGACAGGGTAGAATTCATGTAAGTTGTCCAAAGGACAAAGAAGCCAAGGCCTGAAATACACAGAACTGCCTTTTCCCACTACTGCCCAGTAGTATAAAGACGCAGAACCATCTTTTCCCAGTACGGCCCTGTAGTGGGATAGAACACCCCAGAAACACATAACAGAGCAAATGGCATGACCTGACTCCACACTAGTTTATGGGATGGAAGAAGTCAGTCAGCTCCATGCCTCTGTCTCCTCATCTCCAGATTTCTTTGACCTAGGATTGAGCCCGGGGTCTTCATCCAAGTGAGGCAACTGTTCTGCCACTGACACACACCCAGTTTCACTATCTGTAGAGGGAGGCAGTGAACATCTGCCCTGAAGCCTTCTTAGGACGAGCTAATGGAATCAGCCATTAAAAGCCTGGCATCAATCTTAGATGTCAGTGACAGCTTCTGTCTCCTTGGCAGACCCACTGAATTTCAGGCCATGTATTGTTTGGAGATCCAGGGGTGAGAATGAAGATTGGTGGAGAATTGAATGGAAATTGGAGATCATACACTCCAGTTTCAAACTGTGGCAAATGCCAGCTTCGAAGGAAAAGACAGGGCATTAGTCAAGAGCGCAACAGGAGGCCCTCCTATGGACAGACATCAGGCTCTCTGTGCGAAGTGCTGAGACTGACCATGATGCAGACTAGGTAAGAAGGAGGTGATCCAAGAAGAGAGCTGAACGGGTTCAAAAGACAGGAAAACTTAGCCCCCTGTGGTAGTGCATACCTGTGCTCCCAGACACTGACTCCGTAGGCAGCTGGATCCCTTAGGCCAAGAGTCAGAGACCAGCCTGGGCAGCACACTGAGAACCTAGCTCAAACACAAACATAGCAGCAAATAGACTCAAGGAAGGCTTAAGCTTTTTAAATTAAGGGCAGCGAGATAGCTCGGTAGCAGGAAAAAGCACCTGCCACTAACCCTGGTGACCTGAATTTGATCCCTGGGAGCCCACACAAAACAAAAGAAAAAAATTATAATCAAAGTTTGGAAAGATAGAAAAGAAACCTTCCACTGGATCCCAGCCACCACCACTGCTTCAAGAGGTCACTGGCCTTGGGCTACCTTCTCTCACCTGGTGGCTGCAGCGGCCTTCTCCACGCCTCCACCCTGTGTTGGAGAGGCACACCCCAGTCGGGGTCTTTTTTCCTTTACTCCAAATGGTTCTTCACCTCATTTTAAATAAAAGCTAACTCTCAGTGTGTCCAGGGAAGACCTCCACAAGCTCTCCTACTTCCTCCTGCCACTGACTTACATGCATACACACACACACACACACACACACACACACACACACACACACACACACCCCTAGAAGCCTTCCCACACTTCCCTAAGTTACAACCTCCCTTTCCAGACAGCCTCCCCTAAACATTTCATTGAAATAGCAACTCCATTTTCCCCCCTAAGGGTCTCCTATCTCAGTTACTACTTTATATTTTCCATGAGTTTGTCATTATCTGAGTTGGCAGGTATGTTTTTGCTTATCTGGACCTTTTAGTTCATTTTGCCCCATGGTAACAGCACTGAAAACAGCATTTGGCTCACTGTAGATGCTCCCTACATAATTGCTGAGTTAATGACGTAACGGGGAGGATGGCATACGTCAGTCACTGAAAGCAGTTCAGTTTGGCGGAAGTTTGGGGTGTCCAAGGGAGGGTGCTGCAGGTGAGGCAACCAGACAGGTAGAGGCAGTCAGGTCACATGAGACTCGGCAGAACACACTGAGGGCTCTGATTCACACTAAGGGTGCTATTCGGTTATTCACCCTGTTCACCTGACATGGAATGAACATATTAGGGTTCCCAGGTGTTACTGCTTGGCCAGTAGCTTGAAATCATCTAGAAGCAACAAGAGCGAGCACATAGGAAGCTACTCTGGACATGGAGAGTAAGCAATAGAGGTAGAGATACAATCTGGATACAGCTAGGAAGTAAACAAAAGCAGAACATAGAGCAGGTTGGATGACAGAGTGCATTAACATATCTGGGATAACTCTAGTATGTGAGAACAGGCGACAGTACTTGCCGAGCACCTAGACACACTAGAGGAAAGTGAGTAAGGTTTGAGGATGACGTAGGACGTTCACAGGATCACTCTGGGTCATGCTAACTACAAGAACCTTATGCCACTCAGGAAGAAATGTTGAAGTAATTCATGACATTGGGCCTAGAATGTGAGGGACCAGGAAGGCAAGAATGGATGTGTCCAACTCTTGTCCACACAATGTAGCTGAAGAGCCATAGTGTCACAGGAAGTGGCTGTGGCAACAAGGCAAAGCCAGCATCCAGCTGTATCTAGTGTCCCTGATGGAAGTCAAACTAGGTTGGAGTGGAGCAGAATGGGGAGGCAAAGGTGTGGGCATGATGTGGGATTCTCCTCTATATACTGTAAATAAAAAAAATCTCTCTTGGGCCT